TAATGCTCTTTAACAAAATAAAATACATTCCACATGAATAATTATGCTACCAAAATAGTGTTTGCTATAAATTGCTTCCAGCTTTGCTCCTGTTTCTTCTTGCTGGAGGCAGCTGATTTGTTGAAGCCCAGAGCAGACACTTTCTTTTTGGAAACTCTCCCCCTCTCCATAGTCTTGAAATCTATATGTCACTTTATGTAATTAAAATGTGTACATTTCCAGCCTTGATTGTATGTCCTAGCTCACTTAGAGAGGAAGGCTGACAGAAGCTTTAAGCTTAGATTGATCAAATCTTGTCCGGTTCAGCAGGGACTGGCCAAGATTTAATCCATCTATTGGTAGGCTGGTTGTACTTAAGTTGATCATTGATTAACTTCAGTACAGCCAGTCTGCTTGATTTTTTGCATGTGATTATTGCCGGCAGCAATAGCCACCAACAGTGATCATTGTGTTCTGCCACCAAGCACGGCTCACTGCCGGCACAATAATACTGTGGGAGGGATTTCCCCATCAACAATGACTGTGTTGATGGGGGAATCAAGAAATTTTCTTTCCTGAAACCCGTGGTTGTAGAAAGAAATTTGCATCATCTATGACTTACCTTACAGTGCTGTACGATGAGATACAAGAACATGATGGAGTCAGCTCATATTCAGAATGGACTTTAGAGTTCTTCCTAACTTGTTTTTCTAGCCACTGATGAGAAAAGATGTTCATCCCGTTCTACCTGTTATCTATTATTATTTATTGATTTATTACTTCCATGGACATGTAATGGACTAAAAACCAGTATGTTCTCACATTTGCATGCTAAACTGTATTTTTCCTCATTTAGGCCACTTTCACATGTGCGTTCCGTTTTTTTCATCCGTTTACATCCGTTTTTCATCAGTTTAAATTAGTTTTTTCATCCGTTTTTCATTCGTTTACATCCATTTTCATTTGTTTACATCCGTTTTTTTCATCCGTTTACATCCGTTTTTTGTCCATTCTGGGTTTTGTTACGGAAGAAAAAGAGGGTTTTCTTCCGTTCAAAAAAACAGATGTTAACGGATATGGACATTAACGGATGTAAACAGATGATCATCTGTTTACATACACTAGTCCATAGAAATACATGGGTGTCCATTTTTCATCCGTAAACGGACAGATGAAGAATGGACATACGGCACACCCATGTGATTGAGGCCTTACTCTATGCCTTAAGTATGGCGTAATGCTGAAGAAATTGTACTTAAACAGACTGAGATAATCAGCCATTGTCACAGCTTGCATCCCAAAGCCTCGTACACACGATGAGCATATCATACAATAACAGAACAAATGATTTTTGTCCAAAAAAAGTTGAGTGACCAAGACTACGCATGATCAGAAACAAAATAATACATTACACATTACATATATATTAAAATACAATACAATACATCACTTCCGAAGTTGTATTCTGCCTTATGAGAATTTTCATAACTTTTGTAGCATCTTCTTTTCTATATGAGACTAGCATGCAAAAAAAAAACAGATGATGATTCGTGTGATATTTTCATGGTGTGTTGAGTTATTTTGAGGGGACAGCAAATTTACACTGTTATACAAGCTGTACACTCACTACTTTACATTGTAGGAAAGTGTCATTTCTTCATTGTTGTCACATGAAAAATATAATAAAATATTTACAAAAATGTGAGAGGTGGATTCACTTCCGTGAGATACTGTATCATGTGGCTCAGTAAACCATTGTTGATGCCTTTTATTTAAAAACTCTACTTAAGGGTGCTGAAGTTCACAGGAGATAAGATAAGATGCTATCCTTGTAAGTCATTTTTTGTGTCTCCCTAGCAACAGAGTTTGTCCTTCATCTCTCCTTCTTTTCTTGTCTCCCTCCTTAATCTGTGTTACTCCTGTTGTTTCCTCCCCTCTCAGTAAATCCTAAAGCTGTCAGCAGATCAGCCCTTGTGTGTCTGATTTTAGGCACAGTGCCGCAAATACAGAGCAACTGAGCATGTGCAGAGCAAGGTGAGCCCGTGCACTACTGCATTTTAAACAGTATAGGCACCTATTTTTAATGTTTTATATAGCTATACCTGCAAAAAGGGCCATTGCATCTTGAATATTAATAATAAAACTGTATTAATATTTATAAATAACACTTTTAATTGTGACTTCATGAAAAGGTGAAAATTGAAAGAATGGTCAACTGTAAAAAAAGCAATTTAACCTCTTGCCGCTATAGCCGAATGAGGGTACAGCGTGGTCATCCAGAAACCCTGCTCCCATGGTGCGCATCACAGATCGAGGTAAAGGGCAAATCACAGCAGCCCTTTACCATGTGATCAGCTGTGTGCAATCACAGCCGATCACATTGTAAACAGGATTTGCTGCTTATCAGCAGTCCTCTACTCACACTGACAGTGCATAAGAGGAGAGCGGATAAGTGGCAATCCACACAGGGGACATCTACACTGCTAATTAGGGCACTGATCATCAGTACCCTGATCATCAGTGCAGCCTCATCAGTGCCCATCAGTACTGCCTTTCAGTGTTCATCAGCAATGCCTCTCAGTGCCTATTAATGCTGCCTACCAGTACCCATCAGTGCTACCTATCAGTGCCCATCAGTGCTGCTTTTCAGTACCCATCAGTGATGCCTGTCAGTGCCTCCTCATCAGCGATGCCTATCAGTGTCGTCTATCATTGCCCATCAGTGCCCCCTATCATTGCCGCCTATCAGTGCCCATCAATGCCACCTACAATCATAGGCAAAAATATTGGCACTTCAGTAACATAATGCCCCACTTCGCCCAGAAAATTGTTGCAATTACAAATGTTTAGGCATTCTTAGGCACATTCCAAGCAAAACCCCCAAAATGGACTGGACAAAATTATCGGCACCTTCTAAAAATTGTAAGAAATAATTGCATTTCAAGTTTGTGATGCTCCTGTCATTTATAATTAAACTCACCTGTATCAATTAACAGTTGCTGACGATATAGAAATCACACCAACAATCAGTTAAAATGGTGAAAAATGGACTTAACCTTTTGTTGTGTGTCTCTGTGTACCACTTGGAGCATGGAGAAGAGAAAGTGCAGCAAATAATTGTCTGAGGGTTTGAGAACAAAAATTGTGGAAAAGCATGGACAATCTAAAGATTACAAGTCCATCTCCAGAGATCTTAATGTTCCTGTGTCCACTGCCAACATTGTCAAGAAGTTTACTACCCATGATGCCGTAGCTAATCTCCCTGGATGTGGATGAAAGAGAAAAACTTGATCAAAGATTGCAATGAAGGATTGTTCAAATGGTGGCTAAAGAACCTTGATCAACTTCCAGACAAATTCAAGCTGACCTTCAGGCCCAGGGTACAATTGTGTCAGCTTGCACTATACAAGTGTATAGTCAAAACGCACATGTTCCTGCATTAAAAATGGCTGTGTGTATAAGTGGGTGCTGTAGCGACCTTCGGCTGGAACTGAACAAAATCAGCAAGGAAAAATGTCACCAGCACACCAAGGATCACCAATATGGGTCCAAAGGTTTAATGAACAATCACATAGTTACAGCAAGGCAACGTTTCAGAGTCTCGCAGGACCCCTTCATCAGGCACAAGAAACAGAAACATAAAAAAGCCAGATTGGAGTTTGCCAAACATACTAGAGGAAGCCAAAATCCTTTTGGGAAAATGTGTTGTGGACAGACAAAACAAAATTACAGCCCATTATTCTACTGTTTAAAAAAAAAAAAAAAAAAAAATTAGGCCTTTAATGAAAAGAATACAGTCCCTTCAGTCAAACATGGTGGAGGTTCACTGACATTTTAGGGTTGCTTTGCTGCTTTAGGCACTGGATGTTTTGACCATGTGCATGGCATTATTAAATATGAAAACTTCCAAAAATTCTGGGGTGCAATGTAGGGCACAGTGTCAGAAAGTTCAGTCTTCATCAGAGGTCATGGGTCTTACATCAGGACAATGACCCAAAGCACACGTCAAAAAAACACCCAGAAATGGTTTAAGACAAAGTGCTAGAGAGTACTGAACTGGCCAGCAATGAGTCCAGATCTCAATCCCAGAGAACACCTGTGAAGAGATCTCAAAACAGCAGTTATGAAAAGGAACCCTTCCTATCTGAGAGACCTGCAGCAGTGGCCAAAATTCCAGTAGAGAGGTGTAAGAAACTTAATGATGGTTACAGGAAGCGATTGATTTCAGTTATTTTTTCCAAGGGGTGTGCTACCAAATATTAAATTGAGGGTGCCAATAACTTTGTCCAGTCCATTTTTGAGGTTTTGCATGGAATGTGTCAGATTTGGCTTTTTGTTTTTCAATTTTTTTGTGTCATACCATTACAAACAAAAGAAATAAACATGAGAATGCCTAAACATTTGTAATTGCAACAATTTTCTGGGCAAAGTGGTGCATTATCTGACAGAAATGCAGTGGTGTCAATAGCTTTTACCATGACTGTATCAGTGCCCATCAGTACCACATATCAGTGCCCATCAGTGCCACCTGATCAGTTCCTCCTCATGAGTACCCATCAGTTCAGCCTATCCTTGTCCATCAGTGAAGAAAAAAAATTACTTATTTACAAAATGTTATAACAGAAACTAAGATAAACTTTTTTCTTCAGAATTTTTGGTCTTTTTTGCTTGTTTAGCAAAAAATAACAAAAACCCCAATGATGATTAAATACCACCAAAAGAAAGCTCTATCTGTCTCAAAAAAAGACAAAATTGTCATATGGGTACAGTGTTGCATTAGCACACAATTTCCTTTTAAAGTGCGACAGCACTTAAAGGGGGTGAAAGTGCCCAATTGGCAAGTGGTTAAAGTATATGTTTAACAACAAAAGGTGCTTCTGCTATACGTAGATGGATGGCTTTAGGGTTCTACCATATCCTTGTTGTCTACCCTTTGTGCTTGAGAAAGAAACTCCTGAAACTCCCACTGCAGCTACAGACAGATCCTTTTCTATTCTTGATTACCCCAGAAGTTCTCCTCCTTTAACCTCCCTGGCGGTATTCCCGAGTGTAGCTCGGGGTAAAGTTTCATTACCAAAAGCGGTAACCCCCGAGCTACACTCGGGCTTACCATGCGGCGCTGCTCCGGGATCTGTTCTTCTCTTACCTTGTCCTGCGCTCCAGCAATGTCCCTCCTGCAGTGTCCCCTGTTATGTACTCCAGCGGATGCCGGTATCTGTCATCTGGGTTTCGTCCCCTGCAAGCGTCGGGACGTACGGGGACGGAACGGCGGGACATCTGAAAATGACAAAAAGTGACATTCACTAATACACTAAAATCACACAGTATAACATTACTGTATCAAAGCATTTCACATACATTTTGTCCCTAGTGCTTTGTCCTGTTCCCTGCCTGCATTTTTACTGTTCTTTCTGCCTGGAAACTGAGAAACGTCCATGGCGTCCAAAAAGCGTCCCTTTATGTCAAAATCGGTTTTAGACCAGCTAGAGAACATTGATAGTAAATCAGAACTACTTGCAGAATTGTGTGATAATGATTTGTGGGGAAATTCATCATCAGACACTGAAAACGATTTTGCGACTTTGCTCAGTGATGTGCGAACTTGGCGCTCTATTTCAAATTTCAGTGTTTTTGGTTTGTTTATATTATTGAAATAAATGTATTATTATTATTTTTTATGATTATTTATTAAATTATAATTTATGATTTCGTGTTTTATATTTTAACATACCCGGGATGTTTACTAGACTCTTGTTCAGACAGATTTCAGTGAGTTATTCCTAAGAATTACAGGTCTACAATAAAAAAAATACATATTTCCATGCAAAAAAATGTACCGCTTTGAGCACAGAAATATGGACATATTCAGACCGCTAGGGAGATTAAAACACATTTGCCATGGAGTTGCCTACCCCTTTTTTTTTCAAAGTCTTCTTGTAAAGCTGATGTGCCCTGTTGTGAAGTTTACCCTGCTTAGCTTTCTGTTGTCAGCATACATTGAGATTGAACTATTTATACCAACCTCAATATTGGGCAGCACAGTGGCTAAATGGTTAGCACTTCTGCCTGGCAGTACTAGGGTTGTTGGTTCAAATCCCAGCCACGGCACCTCCTGCCTGGAGTTTGCATGTTCTCCCTGTGCCCTGTGTGGGTTTCCTCTGGGTGCTCTGGTTTCCTCCCACACTCCAAAGACATGCTGGTAGGTTAATTGGATCCTGTCTAAATTGTCCCTAGTATGTGTGAAAGTAGGAAGGTGGTCTTTTTCCTGTTCCCTTGGGGGCCCCCTCAAGATACCAACGGTCACACCTGGACACAGCTACGAGATCTCGGAAAGTGAATGCACTCAAGTCACCTCAGTTGCGATTGCAAACACTTCAGTTTTATTGGCATAACATCAGGGTTATTATACTGTAGTCTTTAGGCAAACACACCCTCAGACCTTCCAATCAAATACATGTACATTGTTTTACCTTAACTCAACAATTATTTGTATGAGGTTTGCATTTTCACTCTTCTGCTTTATCTATCATACCATATCTCCTCTAAAGCCCAGACCATGGCTATAATTAGAGATGAGCGAATTATTCAAAAATTTGATTCGGCTGATTCGCCGAATTTGCGGGAGAAATTTGATTCGATGCGAATTTATTCGCTGCGAATTTAACTTATTAAAAGGGTTTCTAGGCTTCAGAGAGCCTTTATATTAGTGCAGAACACTGTACCTTTAATTTAAATGCCCTTGGAGTCTGCTGGGGAAGAGAAATAATACTGTCAGTCAGTATGACATGCAGATGAGTGCCGTCGATCTTAGAATCACCGCACACTTCACTCATTTGGGCAGTCACGGGGCACGACGAAGAAGAAGAAGAAGAAGAAGAGAAGAAGAAAAAGAAGAATGAAAAGAAGAATGAAAAGAAGAAGAAGAAGAATGAAAAGAAGAAGAAGAATGAAAAGAAGAAGAAGAGGAAGGAAAAGAAGAAGAAGAAGAATGAAAAGAAGAATGAGAAGAAGAATGAAAAGAAGAATGAAAAGAAGAATGAGAAGAATGAAAAGAAGAAGAAGAAGAATGAAAAGAAGAAGAAGAAGAATGAAAAGAAGAATGAAAAGAAGAAGAAGAAGAATGAAAAGAAGAAGAATGAAAAGAAGAAGAATGAAAAGAAGAAGAAGAATGAAAAGAAGAAGAAGAAGAATGAAAAGAAGAAGAAGAATGAAAAGAAGAAGAATTCCAGTACAGCAAAAAGTGTATCTGCAGAGAGCTCCGCTATTTCTGACAGTTCTCTGACAGTTCCTTCACATTTACAGCGGTTGAAACATTGTATCTATTTATTTCCGAATAAAAACATCTGTATCCTAAATGGAAACAAATAGATACAATGTTTCAACCGCTGTAAATGAACTGTCAGAACTGTCAGAGAACTGTCAGAAATAGCGGAGCTCTCTGCAGTGACACTTTTTGCCGGCTGATCGGGGAAAATTCGATTCGTGCATCCGAAGTTTGCTAAAATTCGGATTCGGTGTGAATCAAATTTTTCCTAATATTCTAAACGAATTCCACTTCGCCAAGTTCAATTCGCTCATCTCTAGCTATAATCTGACCCAACGCCCAGACCATGGCTGTAATCTAACCTAACACCCAAGTTGTGGTTAAAAAAAACTTTCCAGAAGTGAGAGTAAACCTTATCTGCTTTTTTGTACGGTTTGCAAAAACACTCATTTCTACATGAAGCTGACATAGACAGTTTTGTTAGTGTGCACATATCTCATATATGTATATTAAACTAGCATCTTGTATTAGTGTATACAAAATGGATTCAGTTATATTCCATTTAATCCTTTCAGTCCCCTCTTTTATCACATAGTGATAACACTTTTCATTGACTTACTCTCCCTATCGTCTCAATCCCATGCATTTCCTCATATTGTTGAAGCAAAAACATTTCCTCCCTTTCCTTCTCATTAATTCTCATTTTGATACACATGATCATTCAGTTGTGATGAGGTAAACCCTCCACCCATCCTGAACTCCCAGAGGGTTTTTGAACCACTGGCTCCTTTCTATCATATGGATTCTCCAATAGAAACCATAGTGGGACAATGATAATAGTCACTATGGATAAGATAATAATCAGGTTCATCCAGTCCTCATGGGGATCCAATAGGTTGGGTAGCAAAGTTCTTGGCTCCTTCTGCTGTTGGTTGATCAGCTTGATTGTGTCTCTCATCTTGGGAAATCCTTTTGACTCTTGATGCATGGATCCAGGTGCCTGATCCTTCAGTAAGAACAGCTGTACGTGTAATGGCCACGATCACTGTAGGTTCTCCAAACCGGGGTCTCACCCTTGGATCCAGTCTTCGAATCACCACTTGATCACCTACCTCGAAGGGGTGGGTTGGTTGATCTGCGGATAAAAGAAAAAAACAGCAGCATCATTTTGTTCGCTATTCAACTTTTCACACAATGCTTTTACATATTCTGCCTGTATCACCTCTAAATCTCCTTTCTGCCACAGAGGGGGTTGCTGTCTAGTCCAAGGGGTAGGGAATGGTCTTCCCATTAGTATCTCAAAGGGAGACAACTTACTCCGTTTATGAGGTGTCATCCTTATTTCAGCTAGTATAGCAGGTAATACAGCTGGCCAATTCTTCAGAGTCCCTCCCGTGGCTTTCACTAATGTATCCGTAATTGTTCTATTCATTCTTTCCACTACTCCAGAACTCTGAGGGTGATAAGGAATATGGAGCTTCCATTGAATACTCAAAGCCTTTGAGACTCCCTGAGTCACTGCTGCAGTAAAAGCTGGTCCCTGATCACTTTCTATGAACAAAGGACAACCCCATCTAGGGATGATTTCCTTACACAAACCTTGACCACTGTCTCTGCTGTTTCATTCCTACATGGGAAAGCTTCCAGCCAACCTGAAAATCTGTCTACTACCACCAACAGCTTATCTCCTTCTTTTGATTTAGGGAGATGTGTGTAAAATCTATCTGTAGATGTGTAAATGGTGCCTCAGGGGGTGTGTTAAATGTTCATGTTTCCCATGCTGGCCATGCCCAGGGTTGTTTTGTAAACAAGTAAGGCACCTTCCCAATGTTTCCTCCACCAAATCATGGAGAAACCATACACAAAATTGTTTGCGCATTTCTTTCTCCACTAACTGTTTTCCCTTATGACCTACACCATGAAAATTTTGAATGAATAATACAGCAGCTGCCTGTGGAAGTCCTACAATCCCCTCTTTTGACATAAGACCATGTTTGTCTTGTGTCAAACCTCTGCTAGCCCAAAAATCAACTTCACTCTCAGAGGCTTGTGCCTGCAGTGTACCTAAAAGCTCATTTGACAGTAGGGATGGAGTGGACAACATTACCATAGATAGATCTGCTCGATTATGCAGTTGCCCTGCAGTTTTTGCAGCTGCATCTGCCATAGCATTGCCTTTTGTGACTGGGTCTTTGGCAGTAGTATGTGCCCGTACTTTAATGACCGCTATCCTTCTTGGAAGTTGGAGTGCAGCAAGCAAATCCTGGATCAAAGAATGATGGGATATTGACTTGCCATCGGCCGTAGTGAAACCACGGCGTTGCCAAATACGGCCAAAATCATGTACAACCCCAAAGACATATTTAGAATCTGTGTATATGTTAACATCTCGATCTTGATAAAGAGTGCAAGCTCATGTTAGGGCCACTAATTCAGCTGCTTGTGCACTGGGGTAGGGGATGGAACCTGTTTCAATAATAAGAGGTGGTTCTACTACTGCATAGCCTGTGATGTATGTAGCATCACTAGGGCGTGTACAAGATCCATCGACAAACACATCAGGGGCTCCAGGAATCGGAGTCTCCAACATATCTAGTCGCGGAGAAGTGTCAGCTTGGATAACATCCAGGCAATTGTGTTCCTCCTGCAATTCTGGTGACCTTGTGTTGTGAAGATTAAGCAGGGAGGACAATAAAAGAGATGGTCCTGATGTAGATGGGCTGTATTTAACTGTGAGATTATTGGTGGATGTCAAAATTACTTCACATCCTGCCAGGCGTTGTGCTGACATGTGTTGAGTGTTAATGTTTTTCAGTACATGTAGGACATGATGAGATGTGTGTAATATCAATGGGTTCCCCAAAACTATGATAGATGCCATTTCCTCA